GGCCCCCCCCCCCCAAGCACACACTGGACTTGTCACGCTGCAACTAGATAACAGACAACCACACAAAGTTATTACTGCTTTTACCGAAAGATCTACATGTGTGGGGAGCCACTAATTAAAGTTGATTTCTCACCTGAAGAGCCAATTTCCAGAGCTGTGAGCCACCAGGCAATGTCTTTTTGGCCATTGTCTTTATAATGATGGGATTATGGGTCATTTAGCTGAATGAGACTCAGTGATTCTCTCCTCATCCATGCTTTGTTACCAACGAGACTGCAAAAGAAAGGCCCAAATTGAACCAGCAAAGATACCCTGACTTGCTACATCCTATTTTTTCATTATTTCCCATAATAGCATTTTATGCCTACTATACACTAGAAGACTTTGAAATTACTTGTAAAAGACTAAAGTCTGACATCCTCTGACATCTAAAGACAATCTGAGTGTTTAGTCACACACTGTAAGATTTTGCAAAGACTCGGGATCTTGCCGGCTCACTATTTGCAAGATTGTGAGACGTTATTTTGACATTATTTCCCATTCTGGTCCTGGTGGAAAATATTAAGCCAAACTCCCTTCAAGAAATATGACATATAAACAGTGCCTTACATTTTTGTCGGAATGTCAAGACTAGTAATAGACTGACTTAGGACAGCTTGTACTGAGTTTTATGACCACCTTTCACAAATTGATCAAGATCACAGGAGTGTGCACCAACTGAGGTAAAACTCGTGATTTTATTCCAACATATATTCCAATATTGTAACATAACATTGTCTGGGACAGTAGCCATTTTTTACACAGAGATCAGGCGATAAGGCTACAATGAAGACCCTTCATTATGCTGGCTTTGCTATTTTATACAAAACTTAACAACGGCAGAATAATTTTGGATGTAAATGAGGCGTAATGTGTAACACAACAGCATTAGCCTCTAGTGTGACCAGGGCAAGAATTTCACGAGGGCCACAAGGGCCTTGGCCCTGTGCCCTTGAAAAAAATATCTGCCCGTGGCCTTGATGCCCCGCCTGCACTGTCCCAGGTGATTTTGCGGTTTTCTCCTCTGCCTCTTTCCTGTCAACACGGCTTTGACACCTGTGTCTATTGAGAAAAAAATAATGCGATGACATTCTGGAGTCATTGGGCAACATCAAATGAGATGATGCGTACATCACCAGTGGGGGGTTTGATTCCAGCCTGGCATGAACCGCTCAGACGGGCTGTAACGACAGTTTGACACCAATCTATCACTGGCCAACCAGGAGACTTCATCAAACGCCCGGGATCGGTACCGAGACCCGGTATTAAACAACCCAAGGCAAGTTTAATCAACACCGTAATAATAGTAAGCGCCGCTATTATCAGCGTTACTTTTTAAAGTCTCGGTTTCATGTATCATCATTCTGCAGCCTCTCTCCTGCTCTCTGCATGTCACCCCTCACAGCGCGCGCACACACACAGACACAAAAACTCAACAGCAGAGAGGCCGCGGTGCAGATGAAGGGAATATAACTTCAAGATTACTCTAGTTAACTACGCTACACTTGTTACTGTGAGTAAGTGCGATAAAACCTCTGCCAGCCAAGCCAATACTTTATCAATACATGTGATCAGCATGTAGAATATTTCAATCTGCTCTGTCCACAGTCTCTCATTCACCGCTATTATGGTTTATGATCGCGGTCGACACAAGCACATCGCGCACGCGGTGCTAACAGCAAAGTGTTAAAGACAAACTAAAATGAAAGCTGTCTGTATGTAGGCTAACACTTTATCTGAAAATGTACCTGAGGCAGCCGACCTGCAGACAGTGAGTGTTCTCAGTAGAGGAGGGACAGAGAGCAGGATGAATGACTGATACTGATGTTTGTCTTCATGCTGAGATAACGTGACTTTCGTCACTCAGTATTGTGATGTCAGGAGGAATATTTATATTCCAGTAAGATATTATTGGGTTTTAAATAGTGACTTTGTTGTTGTAAACATGACTGTTGCTGCCATGGACTGTATAAAACTATATCCTGTGTAACTGACCTATAAGGAAAGCATCAGGAGGTGAGGTGTGTGCATGTGTGTGTGTGGAGGAGAGGAGAGATGGAGATGCTGGTAGAGAGATAGTGTGTGTTGTTAGATACTGTTAATGCCACTTATTATGCTTATGTGCATTGATAGCTCTCTTTTAGTCTGTTTCTGCATCATGTTGAGGAGGGCCATGCCTGTGTGTATATATATGTATGCAAAAAAAGTGGATCAGTTGCTCGCTGCTAAAAATGTGACACATCGACATGATCTGGTTTTGAAATGTGGCCCAGTTGAAATAGTAGCCTAATTGAATAGCCCTGCTGTAGTTTGTTTGTTTGTTAGCTATCTAACAACACATCAAAAATAATTGTAAGTCAGTCTTGTTCAGTGAATTAATTAGTTTATCATGTACACTCAAAAAATATTTAGGCCTAATATTTAATATTGTTCGCTTATAAATACATGAATCTGGTTGTTCTATATTTAAAACACATTGGGTTTATTAGTGCTATTAAATAAATCACATTATTACTTATTATACTCATTATTATTACTTGAGCTTGTTTTATTTATTCATTTCACAGATAGTCATACATCCTTAGTCCTTAAATTCATTGTTTTATTTCATGGCCTTGCTGCCCTGGCTTTGGCCTTTGTGCCCTCAAAAAATTGACAACACGAAAGGCCAAGTGGCCTTGCCCCTAAAATGACGAAATTCCAGGCCTGAGTGTGACATATAACAGTGACGTCGGGCAGCGCTTTCTAAACAATAGCAAAAGCAGTCATTTACCGTCGCTGTTGCATGGCTGCTGATCTTGTTCTTTGCTCAGAAGGTAAGGAGCTCCTGGACCTCATTGACTCCCCAATTTGCAGACATTTTTAGCCGCTGTTCTTCGTCTTTGAGTCAGCTACTAGCTGATTTTTAAATCTCCAACAGTTGATCACACACAACATGTCATCAAAATGTCCCAACCATTCCAACCATGCTCCCATCCTGCAGGCTGTCCGTATTACACAGATGTTGATTTGGTGCTGTTACTACTTCTGCTGCTGGCTTGAAGGCGACCCAACTTTCCTTCTGTCCATTTTTTGATAGTAGTAGTTTTGTAAAGAAAGGCGAAGCAGAATTATGGAGGGATATTCCTACCTTGAACAGTCTGTGTATAAGGAGGTAGTGAAATTGCTGGGAAAGTCATTTGGTAAGGACGGCATTCGTTGGAATCTCCCAGCTTGCTTAATACCAGAGTCTTTCAATCTCCACGTCTCCAGGCTCTCTGTTATAAATTTGTAGAGTAGAACTCCTCATTATGAATAAACTCATGTAAGCTCAGTGCATTATTTAAAGCCAGTCTTATTCTGTGTGCCCACAAGAGGGCCCACATGATGTAATTTTTTCCAGCTGCTCATGTCTAAAGTCTGTATGCACCTCCATGCTCCTACATCTGCTGACTACATGAGTGGTGGAACATGTACACAGAAACCCATATAGCACTGTATATGCGTCTGCTTAATTGACATCTCTCAAGCTATTTCATTTAACCTTGTTTGTTGCCACATGTTAATGCTTCTGGATTTTCTGGTTCCAAAAAACTGAAGAAATTGTGAGCAGTAAGGCTTTAAAAGGTCGGCTCAGAAACCTCTGCCTAAAACATGTCATGGAAACTGTGATGGAATCCTGCCATCAGCAGCTATTTCAGGCTGCTTTGTGTGTGTGACACTTTCTGTTCTTTCCATCCTTTTCCATCTTGCTTCTTCTTATTCTCCCTCTTTTTCTGTCTTTGATTACTCTTCAGAGGACCTGGGGGCAGAGAACTCTGAGCAGCTGTACACTGCGCCCCCTGAGATCAAAGCCTGAAGAGAAAGCAGCGCTGTTTGGAAATAGGATGAGAAGAGAGAAGGAAACGAGCGGAGGGGTGTTCCAGCGTTCTATCTGGCCCCAGCAAGGAGCAGAGTCCAGAGCATCTCCATCCATCAGGGGACTGATGTGAATATTATGACTGCCCTGTCTGTCACAGACTAACCCAGTGCACACTTACACAGACATGCACATACACACACATTTGCACACACACACACACACTGATGTCATGCAGTCATATGGACAGTATGGGCTGCAGAGTAAAGCAGTAGAGCTGTGAGTATCAGCTCATTGCTGCCTGCTTTCTCTCTGATCAGCCTACATCTGTCTGCTTAAGTTATTTTAACTTCCCCCCTAAAATCACATGATGCTACGATCAGTTTTGGTTTCAAAATTAAGATCATCAATGAGCTGGACCAATGCTTTTGTTTTCAGTTCATCGTTACGGGAATACTATCGCTAGTTGCACAGTTTGTGCTAAAGTTAAGGCGTTTTAATTTCTTCTGCTGTTGTACTGTTTAAGTATAAAAAAAGTTTGGTGTCAAAATGAAAGAAAATATTGTTTTGTGACAAGGCGGAAAGGGAAGAAATGTCACTGGTCTTTTTTTCCATTTTGGTTTGTGTCTTCATTTGTGTCCAGTGATGAAATAAACAAACGCATTGCTGTTTTATTTGTAAGTAATGCACAAGGAGCAAACTGTGTTTAGTGTCTTATTCTTTTCTTTGGCTTCATCTGTGCCAAGTGAGGATTAATAAGGTCACAAGGTTATCTTATATTGCAAATAAATGCAAACAAAAGCTTTCATTCACTTACACAATACGCAAAACTAGCCTAAAGGGAAAAACAAAGTTAGAATGATAATGCCATACTGTCTTGTGCTGATAAATTTAATTTTATTTATTATGATCCCAAGTAGCTGTAGCCAAAGGAGCAGCTGTTCATCCTGACACAATACTGCATACTCACAAAAAAAATCCCATCACCATAACATACAACATACAATACAACGACACACAGGACCTAGCTCTAGTTAGTGAAACAGAAAACAAATGTCTTCTACAGAGATTTAAAGATATCTCATTATTTAGTTGTATTTATTGAGCAGAGCATTTCTTATTAAAGATCAAAATCATATTTATAAATAGCATCATGGTACTTCCATCATTCTACAGCATCATCATTATTATTATTATAGTAACTATCACCAATAATTTATAATAAAACATATAGTTTAACTATTAATACCCCTAGAAGTATACACTCTATAAAATCCTGTAAAAATGGCTTTTAATTCCCACCATATGACGTGCGGTTCATTTTCAATAGTTGCACGTTTGTTCCACCAATGAGGAAGGTCTTTCTAGCAGCTTCTGACCAATAGGAGCCCGTTTCTACCGGCAGTCACTTCCGGCCCGGGTCGTCCCCCCATGAGTAGCAGCAGCCCGGTGCAGAGTTCATCCAGAGCAGTCGCAGCCAGTGGACACTAGCCGCTTTCATTTCTCCATTTTCCTGTGGAGGAGGAAACGAGAGCAACGACAATAAGCCATATTTTCTTTTTACGTACCTCCTTGTTCCTTTGACTCATGCTGCTCAGCTTCTTAGCTGATATTTGCTTTGTGAATTAACTCCAGTAAGAGGCGCTGGTCAGCCGCTCCGCGCAGTCCAAGCCTTCTTTCCGTTTCTACCACTTTTCCCCTCGGTGTTAGCTAGCTAACTGACCCAGGCGACGGTAACTCTGACCCGCCACCCGCACGCCGACATGCCGGAGTACCTGGACGACCCGTCTGTGCTCACCAAGGACAAGCTGAAGAGCGAGCTGCTGGCTCACAACGTGGAGCTCCCGAGCGGTAACCCGAACAAGGATGTGTATGTGCAGCTTTATCTCCAGAACCTGACCGTTCACAACAAGAAACATGTCACGGCCACGACTCTGGACGCCTTCTCCAGCGACGAGGAGCTGCCGCCGCCCGTCGTCTCCAGCAGAAGTCGCTCCTCTGGCAGGGTGAGTTTGTTTATCCGGTCTGAATTAACGGTATTAAAATTGTAGGAGCCGAAGTCACATAGCAGCAGAAAGTACGGTGGTGCAAGTTTCGCTAACTTAAATCAAAATTAGTTTTCCATGTAATCCGTCTGTATTTTACACTTTCATGTATCCAAATATAAAGACACACCATATCACGGCTACAGCTACTCATTCATCAACTTTTTGCTAACTCGTCTCTGCTGTAGTCATGTCCAAAAAATAACAAATGCCCATCGGAAGTTGGCACATGCTTTAAACTTCTTTACCATCATGCTATAAATCTGAACTAATCAATGAATGAACCAACTATTCTTATCAGTATACACAAACATCTGCTCCGACCACAGACTCCCTTCATCCATATGTTTTTTTTTTGCCTAGGGTCCCCACCCTAAAAAAGTCCTCGTGTTGCTTTCTGTGCCACAGCCAAGGATAGAAGCATGTGCTTTCACTTTCCACCATTCATTTTATTCTCAAAGACATTATTTTGAAATTGGGCTGTCAGTAATTTTCAAGGGGGAGCATTCTATTATCATTAAAGGGACAGTTCACTCCCAAATCCAAATTGTCTCTCTTACCTGTAGTGGTGTTTATTAGTCGAGATAGCTTTGGTGTGAGTTGCTGAGTGTTGGACATATTGGCGGTAGAGATGTCTGCTTTCTCTCTAATATAATGGATCTAGATGGCACTCAGCTTGTGGTGCTCAAAGCAGCAAAAAAAAAACAAATTTGAAAAACTCAACAGCAATGTCTCTGTCCAGAAATCATGACCGTGTTACTCAGGATAATCCACAGACTTTGTTCTGAGCAGTCTCATGTAGGAACTATTTTCTTTCTGCCAAACTACACTAACCAAACACCCCTTTTCTCTCCATAAGTTAATGTGTGCTCACCTTTTTTCTGATAATGCAGATGTTCAGGAGGTTTTTACTGTGAGCCAAATTACCCACAATAAACACACTGGTAATTTAAACCAACAGAAACACTGAATAAAATAGTTTCACGTTACAAACCAGTGTAACTCTGGCGGAGCTCGTTGCAGTTGGGCTTTTCTTTATGGCTGACACAAAAACCCAAATGACACTATTTGGAGCCAGTGTTTGGTTTGTCAGTTCTGGGCTACTGTAGAAATGTGGTGATACAATATGTGTTCTCCATAAACGAAAACCTGCTCTCTATGTAGATATAAACAACTCATTCCAAGGTAAGAAGAACACAACAATTCTTATATGTAGGTCATTATAATATATAGAAAACATACTCATTTTATTGTATTCTATTTCTGCTAGTATATCCCCCTAAATCTTACACACTGGTCCTTTAAATAAAAATCCTATGAATGAATCTGTGGCCAAACCCTGATCACCTCAGCCCCACAAACCAGATTCACACGTTTCAGCTTTCACTTGCGGGTTAGTGGGGGGGTGTTGTGCCTTCACTGTTAGCACCAACAAACTGCAGACACCTTAGATTTCTGCACTGATTGAAAGATTGTTAGCATTTGCTGTGTGTGAAGTGTGAACCCAGTGCTAGGAGGGGTTTGTCTCCCTTGGTCTCTTGATCATTGTCTCTTTAACATGTTAATTTCATCAGTGTGTATTCTGAGAGCATTTTGAGGGGACACATGGCTCTATCTGTTGTTACATGAAATGAAATCACACCCAGAAACTGTTACAGCATAGATAAGGAAGCTAATAGGTATTTGTTGTGTTTGAATGGATTACGTTTCTTTTGTAGAAGTGCTTCGGTCTCAACTTCCAAGTTTTTGCATTGGGGGCGTACGGTCTCAGTTTCTCAGCATTCCTCTGTTGTTTTAATAATGATAATCTCCCTCCAGCCACTGGCTGCATACTTCAGAGCCTTCAAACAGGAGATTTCCTCTGAAGCATGAGCCTTAATGTCTGTTGACTTTCAGAAGAATACGATTATACTGTGGAGGAAACATTACGATGGCAGTTGATAACAATTTTTGTTTATTTGAGTTATTTTTGCTTCTTTAAAAAATTCAAGAAGCAACAGTGGATCATCATGGTGATGAAATATTGAGGATTTTGGCTCTTTAGTTTAAGTAATAAATTGTTTGGACACTAAAGTGAACCATTCCCAGCACGGTACAGAAATTATTTTCTAACGTCATTTATTATTAAATATTTTGCCCCATAGACTATAAACCTTTTTATACATTATGGTAAGTGGTCAAAAAGCCTATTAAATTGCTTTATTTGCTTATTTTGTGCTATTGATTTTTAGACCCAAACAGAATCTGCAGATTATTTTGTACAGTGTTCAACGGTAATCCTGTGGGGGGGGGGGGGGG